ATTTTCAAACACGTTTTTTTCTTTTTTTTTTTTAAAAAAAATCATTGTTGACGAATTATTTCCTGTTTTCATTTTAACATTTTATAACAAACAATCGTTTTAAACAATTAAATTTAAAAAAAAAAAAAAAAAACAATCATTTTATTATTTATAATATTTTTATCGTCAAAAAAAATAAAATAAAATAAAATGGCAAATGACTTTTCTTTTTCTCTCTCTCTCTATCAATACATAACAAACGATTTTAAAATATTCATTTTTACCAAATAATAATAATAATAATAATAATTTTTATGTAAATAATAGAGAGTAAATAATAAATATATATATTTACACTTTGCATTTATGTTTGAACGAAAGGAAAAAAAACAATAATTTTACGACATTGTCATTAAAATGTAGGCACGAATTGGAGAAAGTTGATTTTCTTTCATTTTTCTTTACTTTAAATCGTTACGTAATAATAATAATAATAATAATTAACCGATAATTATGACGGGTCGTCATCATCATCATCATCGAGCCCCCCCCCCCCCCGACGTAAATTTTAATTTTTACAATGACGAAGAATAAAAAAAAAAATATATTTGATGAGTCCCTTACGTTATTATCGATAAATTCACGATTATGATAATGATGATGATGATGATTATGACGATGACGATGATGATGATGATGATGATGATGATGATTCATTTATTAAATATTATTCGATAGTAATCCCTTATTTTACGGCCGATTAATTTTTTTTAACTAAACAAACGGTACTAAGTATTTATTTTCCTTCTACCCCACTACTTTAGTACTTATTACATTTACATTACACACGTAAAAAAGAGGGAAAATTAAATATCACAAAGTATTATTTATTTATTAAAAAAAAAAAAAAGGACAATAATTTATTTATTTATTAAAAAGAAGGAAAATCAACAACAATTTCGCAACAACGTACAACTCGAAATATTTAGCCTAAATAAAATTTTAGTTTCCTGCTCATCATTTAATGGTGTTTTTAAAATTATATAACCTTTTCTCTCTCTCTCTCTCTCTCTCGAGACTAAATTTTGCATTTTTCGTGATCGATCGCAATTTCGTGTCAAACGAAAACATTATTATTATAATTAATATTCATATTAAAAATAACCAAGGTCAAAAATATCCCATGGAAAAAAAAAAAAAAACGAAACGAAAAAAATTCATGGATTATCATTTGAACTTATTATTATTATTATTATTATTATTATTATTATTATTATTATTATTATTATTATTATTATTATTATTGTTACGACATTTTTCCCATAATTACCTATCGATAAGTTTTCCCATGGATCACAAAATTCTAAACGGTAAAATTAAATAAGGGAAAATATCACGTCCAAAAAAAAAATATAATGATGATAATAATAATTAAAAGTCATTTCACATCCCGTTTCCCTCCCATTTTCCCATCCCATTTTCTCTCTCTTTCCCTCCCCTTCCCTTTTTTCATTCGAATTCGTATCAATCGATGAAAAATCATTTAAAATTATTATTATTATTATTATTATTATAAAAAAAAAACCAAAAGGTAAACAAGAAAAAAAAAAACAAAACTTTTTTTTAGTAAATGTTACATAAACGCAAAATTAAGCCCAAAAAACAAATTTAAACTATCGTTTGTCGTTGGATAATCGTTCGATGGATCGATCGATCGATCGATCGATTAATCGCTTAACGATATTTTATTTAAGGAAAAACGAAAGCGAAAAATTTTAACGTCTCATCCACCATCATTCTCCTTACAAAAAATTTAGCACGAAAAAAAAGAAGAAGCTTTAAATTGACATTTTACCATAAAAATAATAATAATAATAATAATAATAATAATAATTTAATTTCAGGTTTTTAAGCGACAAGACTTAAACGTTATAATTATATAATTCAAATAATTATTATTATTATTAACAAATATTGAAAAAATAAAATAAATTTTTCTTTTAGTTTATTCGATTTCGCGCGCATTCCTTTACTTTTTTATTCGTGTCAATTTTATTTTTTTAATAATAACGAGTTTTATTTATTTATTTATTTATTAATTAATTACTAATCGTTAATAATAATAATAATAAAACGCGAGAAATTTTTTTCAAAACTCAAAAAAAGAAAAAAAATGGCATAACATTTATTATTAGGAGAGAAAAAAAAAAAAAAAAACAGAAAAATCCTATCCTCCCATTTTTTTTTTTTTTTTTAATTAAGGGTTTGATAGTTCATTACACAAAAACGAAAAGGGGAAAAGGGGAGACGGGGGGAAAGGGGGGGGGGGAAAATTAAAACTCGTGGGAAGATGACACAATGTCAAGTTTGAAAAAATAAAAAAAAAAATTTTGAAATATCAAAAGCGAAATTATCGTTGTTGAAAAAAAAAAACTTTTTTTAACTTCGGGATAAAAATTAAGAAATTATAAAACTTGTTTCAAGGCTTAAGGCTCATCATCCTTTTTATTTAAAAAAAAAAAAAAATTTTGCGGTCGTTAATAAAAAAAAAATTTTTTTGCGGTAGTTAAAAAAAGAAAAAAAAAATTTAGAAAACAATCGCGATTTTTTTCCTTTTTTTCCCTCCAAGATTTTTAAATTTACAAATTTGACCTTTGTTTTCTTTTTCTTTTTCTTTTTTTTTTTTTTAATTAACTATTTCCGGTTCAATTTTGAAATTGTTACATATATAACAAAAAAAAAATTTTTTTTTTCGTTTTTAACTGTTTCAATTTTGAAATCTTTTAATTTATTTTTCGTTTGTTTCATAAAAACACCCGACACGACATAAATGAATAATATTATTATTATTATTTCTATTTCCGGTTGGTAAAAAAATACTTCTCGTTACTTATTAGAAATTATTTTTAATTGTTTTTTTTTCCAATTAATTTTTCCATAAACGAATTTGAAATATATATTGGTAATCGAATCAATCAATAATTTGATCGATAAACGAAGGAAATACCGGAAATACTTCGTCCTTCACTTATTTCTCAAACTTTACGAATATTTGTGTACGAATATAGAAAATTCTCGAATTTTTTTTTTTTTGGTCCTTAGGTAAAATTTCACATCTTAATGATTGTTTGTTTTGATCGCGTACTTAATCATCATTTTTACGGATAAAATCAACAAGTTTTCCGTACTTGTATTAATCCTCTGAGAGATTATTTTTAAATTAACGACGGATTAATTAATTCACGCGCGTGTTGAGCGTTTATAATCAAATTATAAGAACCTGATATTAAAATAAGATCAAGATGTTAAATTTAACTTCCTCCCCCCCCCGTAAGATGTCGTCACACACCGCCCTAGGGTACGCGAAAAAAACGTAAACAAAAGATGTTTCGAATGTCGTGTCAGCAACTGAAACTACCGCCAAAAATTTTTTTTTTTTTTTGTACGTAAACCTTGAGTGTCTTAATATTAAGAAATTTTCGTAAGGAATAATTTAAAGAAGTTTTCTTTTGTTTTTATTACGAATCGAAATTTTTCAAGATCGACATTTTGTTTTTTAATTGTTTTCACTAATAATAATAATAATAATAAATAGTAAAACGAGTATTGCGTAAAAATGAAAAAACAATAAAAAATTATTTCGTATTCAAACATTTGAAATTTTCTTTTGATCGATGTTTTAAAATCAAACTCGTGATAATATCGTATCGACGATACCTTCGAGATATTACGATTTACGAAATAA